CCAATGTGAATGCATGAAATGTTGGAATGTGAATGGGCACCAAATGTCAGAGTGCGCCCATCAGAGTGTACCCAATGTGAATGCATGAAAAGTGCACCCAATGTGAATGGGCACCAATTGTCAGAGTGTGCCCAATGTGAATGGGCACCAGATGTCAGAGTGCGCTCAATGTGAATGCACACAAAATGTCAGTGCACCCAATGTGAATGTTCACCAAATGTAAGTGGGTGCCAAATCACTTGTACCTGCACTAAGTATGCATCTGTGTCTGTTATTCTCCAGTTGTATTTCCACCCATTATCTTTTTGCATGAAATGTCAAGTGTGCCCAATGTGAATGTGTATGTGAATGGGTGCCAAGTCACTATGTTCCTATGGCATTTATTTTGCACAAAAAATATGTGCCCCCCCAATTGTAGTAAATGCCTGGCCCACTTTGGCAGGGATTTATGGCACTGATGCACTACACCCATTGGTCTCATTGGTGAGTCCTAACCTGTGCAATTATTTTGCGCTCTACAGGCACAATTATTTTGAGCTCCACAAGGGGCACAATTATTTGCACTCTATGGGGGGTGCAATTATTTTGTGCTGTAGAGGCGCAAATATTTCAAGCTCCACAATGGGCGCAATTCTTTTGTGCTCCAGGGAAGCACAATTATTTCGAGCTCTACAGAGGGCATGAGGCGCAATTCTTTTGCGCTCCAGGGCGCAATTACTTGTGCTCTATGGGGGAGCAATTATTTTGCACTCTATGTGGCGCAATTATTTTGTGCTCTAGCAATTCTTTTGTGCTCCAGGGAAGCACAATTATTTTGAGCTCTACAGAGGGCATGAGGCACAATTCTTTTGCGCCCCAGGGCGCAATTACTTGTGCTCTATGGGGGAGCAATTATTTTGCGCTCTATGGGGCGCAATTATTTTGTGCTCTAGCAATTCTTTTGTGCTCCAGGGAAGCACAATTATTTTGGGCTCTACAGAGGGCACGAGGCGCAATTCTTTTGCGCTCCAGGGAGCAATTAC